GTGGCCCGGTTGAGGCGCCGCGGGGGGTGGGTGGGGTGGGGCGCTGGGGGTAGGTGGGGGTGGTACTGGGGAAGAAAGGTGGGCAACGAGGGGTGGGTTCCTGCGGGGAAGAAGGTGGGGTGTAGGGGTTGGGCTTGAGCTACTGCAGTTTTGTTGGGTTGCTGTGCAGTTCAGGTCTGGTGGATCGAGCAATGTATATGTGTTAGCAGAATAAGAGTTTTTGTTGTTAGAATAAGGTCTTAAGGGGTGTTGTTGGAATAGACCCACACTATATATGTATATTATATATATATATATATATATATATATATAAACATTTGAAGATATATATAGACAAGCATATCCAACAAGTTTCCAACACTACATATCCAATAAGAAGTTTCCTCTAACAAAGTGATCGTACAAAATCAAAACAAAAAGAGTTGACTCCATGAAAGCAAGCTCCTCATCTAAAGCAAATCTGCAAATTGGGAAAGAAGGAAGTTAGAAGAAGAAGAAGGCTAGCTAGAAAAATAATAAGAAGAAGAATTTATCTACTCTTTCTTAGTCTCCTCTCCTCTTCTTATCTTCTTCTAACTAAGATAGGAAAAATGCGATTTTTTAGCTAAGCTAGGTAAAAATGCTAACTGTGTAGGTCATTTTAGAGCTAAGCTAGGTAAATAGGTTATTTTGGGGCTAACCTTGGTAAAATGGATCATATTGGAGCTAACCTAGGTAAACTTGGTCATTTTAGAGTTAACCTAGCTTATTATGCCATTTTTTAGTTAACTAAGCATATTATGCCAATTTTGACATAAGTAAGCTAATTATAGGTCTTTATGGAGCTAACCCAGGTAACTAAGCATATTAGAGCAAATTTAGCATTTTAGAGCTAACTTTGGTCATTTTGGAGCTAACTTAGGTAAAATTGATCATTTTGGAGCTAATTAGGCTTATTATGTCATTTTCGAGGAAAATAAGCTAACTATGCCATTTCTTAAAATCTAAGTAAGCTAATTATGCCATTTTTTACATATGTAAGCTAAGTGTATGTCATTATTAAGCAAACCTAGGTAAGTAAGCATATTAGAGATAACATAACATATTAGAGCTAACTTAGGTCATTTCGGAGGAAACAAAGCTAAGTATAGATCATTTAGGAGGTAAGTCTAGGTCTTTATGCATTTGGTAAGCAAAACACTCGAGAAAACTTACTGGCATCACGGAGGTGAAGGACCGGTCGGGTTTGCGCCAGTGCCAGACGGAGAAGGATCGGTCGGGGTCGGGTTTGCGCCAGTGCCAGACGGAGAAGGATCAGTCGATGCTTGCCGGGAGGCATGCTGCACCAAAGATCATTTGCAATGTCTTATTAGCATGATGAAACTGAAATGTGAATACTAGTAACTAATGACCATTCAAATGAAACTCACCGTGTCCGCTATAGCAATCTAGGGCATCGGCGGAGGGGTCTGATCGTTTTTCTCGCACACGGACTCCACAATTTGTATTCATGAGTCAGACATATTACTTAGTAATGAAACAAACATTACGTGCATGATTTGGCTAATATGCAGGAGAAACTTACCACGAGGAGCTTGTATAGGGCCCGGTGAGACGAGTCGTTCCGGTTCCTCTCCGCCTCCAACAGACTAGTCATCCTCTCCTCCAGCTCGTTCTCCCTCTGCTTAGCCTGCCTGTTTGCATCTGCCAGAAGCTCCTGGGCCCTAGCCTCGATGGCGAGCTCCATTGGCCGTGGTCGAGGTAGTATCTCAGGAAGAGACCTCGCATGGCGCTTCTTCATCTCTGGGAGACTTCTAGTAGTACGTATCAGTCCATCCCCAGTGGCTACCGAGCCATGTTTCCTCCCCTCACCAGATAGCATCATGAGCTCTGGATCAAAAGGACTCTGGCTCGGGTTGAAGTCATCCCCTTTCGTCGCTTTCCCAAAGTCTTTATACCTCACGAGCTTGTTGTGGGAGGAGATGTTTGTGAAGCTCTCTGGATGATCCAGTTCATCCTCAGAGAATGCCTTGGCCTTCTTGAACGGGGCAGTATGGGCCATGGCATAGAGGTCGTACAGCGGTGGCACGTCCTTCTTGTTGTGTTTTGCCTAAAAGAGAGGAACAACATATTAGTTAAGGGCTCAAGCTAGCATGGAGAATGAAATTGCATGAATCGTTAAGGGCTCAAACCACATACCAAGTGATCCCCTTACTCAAACAAGTTGGAGATCCCTTGATGGTGTGGCACACCTCGCATTTGGGCACACATATCCCTGGCCTTGTTGTGTTCGCCTAGCCATTGGGGAGAACACCACTCATCCACCAACGCCTCCCAATAGTCCATCCTATCCGCACACCATTTTGGGGGAACCTAAGTTTGGCAAAGAGAAATTTCAGTGCTACACCTACGAATGAAATCAAGGAAACTAAGTACAAGGCCTTAAAAATAGGTAATTACCTTCATGTACTTCTCCTTACTCAGATACTTGACATGGCACTTGTTCTTGGCCCTCCTAATGTTAGTCGAGGCTTAGTAGTCTCGAATAGCCTGCACCCTAGCCTAGTATTGTAAGTTCTGAAGTAGGCGCTTGCACTCAGCTTCGAGAACCCTAGCCGCCTCCGCCTCTTGTTCCTCAGAACACCTGTAGAAGTTCTTCAATCAAACAAGACAATACTGATTCATACAATCACTAGGTAATGTTGATTTTTAATTCTGTAAAGGAGAAATTACCCAAAACCGCCACCTCACAACTTCGGCCACCGTCTCGCACATGACACCGTCGACCCTCTCCTCCGGCGGGGCTTGGGCAGCCACGTACAGCTCCCAGCTCAGTGCTAGCTGTGGAACCCGACCCTCACCGGGAAACGTGACCCACCCCGGGGTTGTGCCGGCAAAGCACACCAAGGACCTGGTTGGGCCTGCGGACACCATCGGCGTATATCCAACCCCTGCAGTATGACAAGGCCAACACATTAGATATTAATTTGAAGAAACATTAAGGACAAAGGTTAAAAAGAGTAAATGCACTTACTTCTCCCCGTTAGGCTCAACCAATAACCTCTGATCGTGGGTCGCCGCCACGGCCGGGAGCTTCGTACCACCACGCTGGTAGACCTTCTTGCCCTGCTCAACCAGGTCGCCCTTGCTAAAACTATCGTCAGACCAGGTCTCCTCGCCATCAGCATGTCCACTAGTCTCCGGAGTCACGCGGGACAAAGACTCCGGGACCGGAGCCTCATGGGACGAAGACTCTGGCGCCCGAGTCTACTAGGACAAAGACTCTAGGGCCCAAGGCTCATCAGCCCGAGGCTCGTGGACCGGAGTCTGAAACGGGTCCAAGTTTGAAAGGTCCACCTAATATGGAGCACTCCGGTGGTCAGGAGAAATAGCGAGGGGTGGCGGCGAGGAAGGCGCAACAGGATTCCTACCTCTCCCGCCGCCACATCAACCTCTAGCTCCACCCCTCTTCGTCTTCCCCCGACCTCTCCCAGTCGAAGAAGAAGCACCCGTCGGGGTCGTCATGCTGTCTACGAGCGCTCTCCGAAGCTGCTGGGGTGCATTATAGCTACCCCTCCCAACACGCGCCGAGGAAGGAGGCCCGGAGCGCTCTCGACCCGCGCCCACCATCTGTCAACACCTGCAAGGACAAAGAGTAAATGAAATTAGTACAACATAAACATAATAAAAAAAGTGGTGGGTGAAAAAACGCCTAAAAAATTAACTAACTAATTAACTAGCTAACTAAGTATTTAACCTAAAAATAACTAACTAACTAATTAAAAGATTTTTATTAAGGCTAGAAATGGTCTTTAATAGGTTAAAATTATTTTAGTGTTTCAAAAATATTTGAGAAAATTTAGCGAAGCTCATTGGACATATATTGCCCATATATAAGAGTTTCAACAAATGGTCATGTTGAAAATATTGGTCAAATCCATCAAAAACTCTTTATGCAAAATTCCACCTTTCCTAGTTGCTACGTGTCCATGCCCATAGTCAAATAATTCAAGAAACCATTAGCCAACTAATTGACAATGGATGAATAAACCCGCCTTTTCTTTTCTTTTCTGATTTTCAAGAAACAAAAGAAATGGGATGCATATGCATCATTATCCTAATCATTTATATGGTTGTTTTCTAGGATTAGTAATTAGTAAAACTAAAACTAGAACTAGTTAACAGAACTAACCTAACTAACCTACAAACTAACCTTACTAACCTTCGAACTAATTAACCTAACTAACCTAGAAACTAACCTAACTAACCTAGTCTAAAGATCAAAGAAAAAGTGTCTAGATAACAACACAGATCTACTTCTACTCTCTTCATAGAGAATGTTTTTAAACCAAAAATTAACAATAGAGATCAAAGCAAATAAAAAATGTATGAACATTTGTGTCTAGGTAACAGAAATACCACCAAAAAAACACAAACATAAAAAAAGTTGGATATTTTGTCGGATAGATCACTCAGAGTGATAATATAGATCTCATCAATGTATGAATCAGGCCACTACTTTTTGACATCACAAGTCATTACCGGGATCCATAGACAACAATCTCCAATTAGGAATGAAAAATCAACCAGAAACATTACACAGATTCCTGAGTTCAATTAAGAATACTTGAAGAGTTTCATAACAAATGGTTGAGCCGTCAGACAATGCTTTATAAGAAAATAGAATTATGCTTATGATCAAACAAGTAGCAGTAAGCAACTCAAGATCCACCAAAAGGATAGCCCGTTTGAAAAATTCTAGCCCAGTTAACATTTCGCCATAAAAT